CCAGCTACATTTTCTCTTCATAGCTATGCATGTCATAGTGATTCAGCAAGACCATCCATCCACAGTAGAATAATTTTCTAATAAAATTATAACATTCAGTTATAAAGTAAGGCAGCTAAATCAGTCTTTAGCCATATGCTGTTCCATGAGGCAAATATGTTTCACATTATTTAGATGTGCACAACATACATTTATAACATAAACAGAAGAAATGCTTGAGTAAAACTTAACAAGTTAAGAAGGTCATGAAACACTACTGTGAATTTTTCTTGTTATACAATTAAAATCCAACACAGTTAATAAAAACTCAGATAATATATAGTCCATGAATGAAACTCTTGATACATTCCATAAAATATTAAGGCAATGCAATGCATTTAATTAAAACTTCAAGTAGGGTTTATGTTGTAAAAAAGGAGTTATATGGAAAAGTATTTCAATTACATGTTTTAGAATTATTGTGAAGAATTTGTTTTTTCTAAGGGTCAAATGATTATCTTATTTTCTTTCACATAAGCAATTTAGTGTTGACACAGTTTTTTAATCACAATATAATGTCCTTTGGGCTAAAATTCTTGGGGGCAAATGTTTGAAAAAAGAGTTTCTGTTTTAATATATAAAAATTAATAAATAAGGCCCTCTGGGAACAAAAATTCAAATTTGTTCTCCATATAAATTCCTAATAGATTTTTCTTTCTTTTGATAATTTCTCTCTGAAACAGTTTTTAAAAATTAGAATCTTATCCTGAATGTTTCTTTTCTCTGTTTTGAGGCAGGGTCTGGCTCTGCTGCTGAGGCTGGAGTGCCGTAGCACGGTCATAGCTCACTGCAGCCTCTACCTGCCAGGCTGAAGCAATTCTCCCACCTCAGCCTCCTGAGTAGCTGGGACCTCAGGTGCAGGTCCCCATGCCCAGCTACTTTATTATTATTATAATTGTAGAGCTGGGGGTCTCTTTATGTTGCCCTGGCCAATTTTGAACATCTGGACTCAAGCAACCCTCCAGGCTGCTCTGCACAGTGTTGGGATTACAGGCAAGAGTCACCACACCTGGCCCTGATTGCATTTCACAGCCTTTCACAGCCTTTTTTAAACACCTGAAAAGAGCTTCTGATATATTTAATTATTAACTCACATTATACCATTCATTGATTCAACAAATATTTATTGAGCATTTTCTGTATTTCAGACATTAATGAGGCATCATTTCAAACACATAAGGAGTCAGTTAATATATAGTCAGACAAGCAGTAGGATAGAAATGAGCAGTAGGATAGAAATGAGTACCAGAGCTACAGCGGCACTAGGAACCACTACACTAACAAACGTTTGGCCAGACAAGACGTCATGGAAAAAGTGGGCGCTAACCAGGCAAAGAGGTGAAATTTTAGGCCAAAGAGCAGAGAGAACATAAAAGCTTGGGAGGTTCTGAGAATTACGTGAAGGTCTCTTTGATTCCACAGATAACTGAGACCTTGAGATTTTGAAGTTTGTGGTCATCAACTGGCAGATTTTGAGCTAGGGAATTAGCTTGCCAGATTGCCACTGCGGAACTATTTCTACTATTCTTTTTTCTCTATATAGAGGCTATCATTGAGTGTGACAGGAAGTTAAACTCGCTCGTTTCCATAGACATGGAAAACTAAATCCTTGGGTAGTTCGCGATTATCATTGAAGCCCTAAAACATATTTTAGTTTTCTTATAAAATGTTTTTCTATTTTAATCCATGAAAATATGATTTATCTAGATGTTATTTTTTCATCCTATAAAAGATCTGATACCAAATAGTTAAAATAAATGTAATTAGAGACGATATATTTACAATAAATTGTATTAAAAATTATAATAATCCTCAGTATTTTTGCTTATTTAATTGCTATTAGGCATTATTTTACCTAAAGCTTTATTATTGTAATTTTTTCTTTTTCACTAATATGTTGTCATTCTTTTCTAATTTTCCTATGAAAGTATTTTGTCAAACATAATTATTATCTATCACTATGAATTTTTTAAAATTTTGCTTTGATATGAGGATATGAAAGAAAAATCTTTCCCTTCTGAGGAAAATCTAACATTCCAACAGAAACACATTTGTTTCTATTTACGTTGCTTATAGTTTTTAGCACCTCTATAGTGTCTTTGAAATTTGTCATAAAGTTTATATTGTGTTATGGGAATTGCTCACAATTATCTTTGTCCTGAGTGTAAAATGGGAAATTGGGTAAAATTGGGAATATCTTATTTTTTCTCTTTGCAGATAATCCTCCCTGGATATGTATTATCTAGTATCATAGTGCTGCCATCTAGCGGCTCCAATGAGTACTTGTTTGTTAATTTTATGGCATTGGTTAAAACGTAATTTTGAAACAATGTTCCAAATTAGAATAAATACATTGAAATTGATGTGTACTAATAAAAATATTATTTTCCCATAACAATATTTTCTGTTATCAAAGTCTAAAACACTTTAAGAAATAAAAATTAAATATTAAAAACTTAAGGAATAGAAAACTCATGATTTTAAAGAAATCTAATCTTTGTACCAATTATACATTAAAGATTCAGCACAGCCCACATTAGCAAAATAAATTATATTTATAACCACTTAAGAAAATGGCCTTTATATTTGGTTTGGGGAACATAATTCAACTAGAATAATTAAAAACAAAGATATTTCAGAGAAATCCACACTCATGTGTTAATAGTCAATTAAATTTTTTAAGGGTCAACTTGGTTATTTATGCCATAGACGTGATGATTCCAAAGCCCTTTTAATTAATCTCTTTTATCCATGTTCAAATAGTTCAGACTGAATTCCAGGTAACAGGTCATATTCCTAACCATTGAGTTCATTTGGTCTCAAAATAGTACTTCTTCAAACACAGACATAAAATTTTTAGGGAAGACAGCACTAATTAACTGACTTTGATATAAACTATGTTAGTGTTTTCCCTTTGTGTTATCAAATAACACGATATGCTTAAGTAAGAGTTCTGACATAACTTTTCTCTGCCATATTATATGTTGTTAAGTCCAGATTTAAATAATCATTTTTAGTCTTGTTATTTTTCTTACATCATGCATTTCACTTAGTGTAAGTTGAATATACCAGATGAGCTCAACAAATATATCTTTTTAAAAACTCTCTTATCTGAAAAATTTTCAAATACAAAGAAAAGTTGAAAGAAAAGTAAAATTAACACCTGTATACCATTTGCCTTGATTAACCAATTGTTAATCTTCTGCCATATTTACTTTTTCCTCTCTTTCTCATATAGAATACATAGTTTAAAATGATTTCTTTTTTGGAAACCATAGATTATATTTATTTTTATCTCATAGAGTGCTTTAAGTGTGCACAGAGGATTTTGTGAACAGAGAAAAACTAATTAGAATTAATCTTTTTAAAATAAAAAAGGCTATTATACTAGTACTTCCAAAGCTTATTTTTTTAATCTTTGAGTTTAATTTATATCTTATTATTCTAAATTTGGTATAACAAATGCAATCATCTTTACTTTAAAAAAATTAATAGTTAATGCAAATTGAAAATAAGCTTCCTTATAAATTACCATGTATATAATTTAATTGATAATTTTCTCAAATATCAAATCACACAAATATGTTTACTCTTTTAAAATTTTCTAAAGCTTTAAAAACTTTACCTTTGGGGAAAAAACTCTTCATAAATAATGAAACAATTTTTAAAGTTCTATTAAATAAGATTTATAAATAAAGTACTCAAGATCTCTTAAATTCTGTTTATCTATTTGGTCTAATTCTTATACCTGCGATTTTAATAATCATAATTATAAAATTAATTACATAATTAGATATATTAAGTTGGAAATATAATTAATTTTGAAATCTCTTAACCTTTAAAGCACTTTAAATATCATGTGTATGCATATGCACACATTCCAAACTAAGCAAAAAAGCATTAGTAACATGTAATATAATAATCATATCTATTTTAGAAATAGACCAAAGTTATATGTTTCTCATTAAGAAAATCATTTTACCACTCTGCTTTGAAGTTGCTGTTTACAGCAACCTGCTGTTATCATTTGTTTCTTGGCCAGAGATTTTTGCTTGAGACAGGACAACTGAGCTGGATATGGCCAGGACATCCTCCCAGTCCAACTGATGGGCACACTGATTTCCTCTTGTGAGTTTTGGGAAAAGATTCTAAGTCCCTCTGCTTCAGAGCTCTTGATGGTTCTGGGGTTCATGTTATATTTTCCCTTAAGTTATTTTAGTGTCTTTTTTCTGACTCAAAAGACACATGGTTATTTCCTGAGACCCTGTGTACATTGTGTAATTTCTCAGTCTGATTTTAAGTCTATGACTGCCACCACATGTTGCAGCTAACTTCATTCAATCGTGTTGACTGATTAAATTCTGAGCGCTTTTATATTCTTCCTATCTGACTGAGCCACAAATTTACAAATTGAATGATAACTGATTGGATTATTATCACCTTTGTTAGACTTTGTTGTTCCCACACTAAAATCATATTAATGATAGGAGTATCTTGTTACAAGAACAATTTCAATTAGCTGACTGACATATAAACCTGTAATCATCACAGTAACAATAATAATGATAGAGCCCTGATGATATGAAGGTTAAAAGAAGTCTAGGAAAATAAATGAAGCCAGGGTATTTACCAGAGACTCATATAGGTCTTAATATTTACCAGCCATTCTTCCAAGTGCTTTACTCTTAACTACCTTACTGAATGCAATTCCTTTTCTCATTTGTAAATGAGGAAACTGAGGCACAGGGAACTTAACAACTTGCCCAAGTTCACACTTAGTAAGTGACAGACTCTGGACTCAAATCCTGGGAGTCTTACTGTACCATCCATGCACCTAACAACGATGGTATTAATATCATAAAATACATATTATAGATACAGGTGTTTTTAATATAATTGTGACTTATATCTTGTCTTCGAATCCAGAAACAAATACCTCTTTTACTGATGCTCCCATGTAGGTACTGAATTGTTTACTGGACTCTACAGTGACTACTGGATCAGAGATGCTTCGATCTTCCGCAGCATGGGACGACTGTCCCATATCCGCACTGAGCATGATGATGAGCGTCTATTGAATGGTAAGGACAAGGAGAAGAGAATGTGAATTAGGATTGAAATCAACTTTAAAACCTACGGAAAATGTTGCCATTTCGATAATAATGGGAATACAAATACAATTCCTTTACAAATTTCAGGATGCTTTACTAGCAATATTCTTTAACTAAAATATTGTATATGATATGTGTATAAAATTTTCTATCAAAATTGATTGGCTTAATATAAAATCAGTATGCCTTTTGAGCAATGCTTAGAAATCAGTATTTAAATAAGGAATATAAAACAAATGTATGAAAAGTGAAAAGTCCATATTCAATAAGCTTTTTTGTCTACTTTTATCAGTTGTTATAATTTTTGATGAATTGATTGCCCTACTTTGCTTGTTTTAATAGGATTGCATTGCACTTTAGAGACAAAACTCTAGGAGAGTCACTAGACATTCATTGATAGAGAATTCTGTGTAAGAAGTAAGTTTTATATTTTGGCACACAGGTATATGTAGGTGCTAGGATATTGTTTTACGGTGAGCATTTTAATCACTTTCCACATTTTTATTAAGCTTTAAAATGCATAGTCATCATTGATGATACCTTTCACATATTTTACATACTATATCAAAGATCATTTATTCAAATTTCTTGTACTACAGTCTCAAAAATGTAAAATAAATTTTCTAATTTGAAATTAAAATGATCTGTGTGTTCTACTGGTAGATAATTTTTGAATTAAACATAAATAATAGATTTATTTATTGTGACTTTATTTATTTAATATGTTACTTATATTTAAATTTCATTTTTACCTACAATGGGAGGAAATGTATAGATTGTCTTCACCGTGCTCACAATTTGTTCCTGAATGCATTATAAGTTCGCATTGCATGTTGTTTGAAATTGTTCTTCTCTCCTGGATTCTTTTATTTTCCAATTAAATATTCTTGTAATATTTCCAAAATGGCTGTCAATATGCAAATAAAGTAGAGATTTCTTCATCGTGTTTAAAGTTTGGTAAAAAAAATTGAATAAAAATATTTCTGTTATGAAATAATGAAAGTTAAACTGAAGGATTCAGATGACATATAATTTTTTGGAATAACTTGTTAGCATTTTGCTATAATATCTGTTTCACTTTCTCTCCTCCATTTTGTTCCTATAGAACCAAGATTTGTAGGTTCATACATGATTCCTGACAATGAAGACAGAGATGACAATAAAGTATATTTCTTTTTTACTGAAAAGGCACTGGAGGCAGAAGACAATGCCCACACAATTTACGCCAGGGTGGGGCGACTCTGTGTGGTGAGGCTTTCTCTCTCATTATGCTTGCTTATCTCACAATTTATGGTCAGGCCTTTATAAAGTCTACAGTAAGTTTCTACTTTCAACTATTTTCTAGTACTCTATAGAATTCTAGAGTTCTATAGACTGCCTACCATTGATATTTATTATACCAACCTCTACATTTCATATCTAGTAAAATATGTATCTTAAAAGAAACTTGCATTTTGTAAGATTTTCCCCATTTTTGAAGCCATACCAAGAAGAAATAGTCCATAATTAGACCATTCATCTTCCCATGCAGAAGTTTGAACTTCTTCTTAATGAATTTAATAAAAATCTTTTTTATTCCTTTAGTACACAGTACAAATAATATACATAGCTATGTTTGAATAATTTGGTTGGTTAGGGTTATTTTAAAAAGCCCTCTGTAGTTTATTGAATAATTAGAGAGGTTGTTTGGGAACATTTAAAACCAATAGGAGTAGCAACATATATTAAGCTAATCTAATAAAATTACAAGTGTAAAGTTACCTTGGCATTCAAGAAGATGTTTAAGAATAAATTTACACATATATAAATATATGCATATATGTATATTGTGTGTGTGGTATATGTCTGTATGTATATACAGGCATGGAAAACTGGCTAGCCATGTGCAGAAAGCAGAAACTGGACCCCTTCCTGACACCTTACACCAAAATTAACTCCAGATGGATTAAATACTTAAACATAAGACATGGCACCATAAAAACCCTAGAAGAAAATCTAGGCAAAACCATTCAGGACATAGGAGTAGGCAGGGACTTCATGGCCAAAACACCAAAAGCATTGGCAACAAAAACCAAAATAGACAAATGGGACCTAATCAAACTCCACAGCTTCTGCATGGCAAAAGAAACAGTCACTAGAGTGAATCGGCAACCAACAGAATGGGAAAAAATCTTTGCAGTTTACCCATCTGACAAAGGGCTGATATCCAGAATTTACAAAGAACTCAAACAGATTTACAGGAGAAAAACAAACAAGCCCATTCAAAAATGGGCAAAGGATATGAACAGACACTTTCCAAAAGAAGACATACATGAGGCCAACAAACATATGAGAAAATGCTCATCGTCACTGGTCATTAGAGAGATGCGAATCAAAACCACACTGAGATACTATCTCACACCAGTTAGAATGGCAATCATTAAAAAATCTGGAGACAACAGATGCTGGAGAGGATGTGGAGAAATAGGAACACTTTTACACTGCTGGTGGGAGTGTAAATTAGTTCAACCATTGTGAGAGACAGTGTGGTGATTCCTCAAGGCCTTAGAAATAGAAATTCCATTTGACCCAGCAATCCCATTACTGGGTATATATCCAAAGGACTATAAATCATTCTACTATAAGGACACATGCACACAAATGTTCATTGCAGCACTGTTTACAATAACAAAGACCTGGAACCAACCCAAATGCCCATCGATGATAGACTGGACTGGGAAAATGTGGCAAATATACACCATGGAATATTATGCTGCAATCAAAAATGATAAGTTCGTGTCATTTGTAGGGACATGGATGAATCTGGAGAACATCATTCTCAGCAAACTGACACATGAACAGAAAGTGAAATACCACATATTCTCACTCATAGGTGGGTGAGGAAAAATGAGAACACATGGACACGAGGAAGGGGGTACTACACACTGGGGTCTATTGGGGGGCATAGGGGAGGGATGGCCTGGGGAGAAATGCCAAATGTGGGTGAAGGGGAGGAAGGCAGCAAAACACACTGCCATGTGTGTACCTATGCAACTATCTTGCACGTTCTGCACATGTACCCCAAAACCTAAAATGCAATTAAAAAAAAAAGAAAATATTACTAGAGCTAAAGAGAGAGATAGGCCTCAATACAATAATAGCTGGAGACTTTAACACCCCACTTTTAGCATTGGACAGATCTTCCAGACAAAAAAGCAGCAAAGAAACATCAAACTCAAACTGCATTATAGACAAAATGGATCTAATAGATATTTACAGAACATTCCAAGAACTGCAGAATACACATTCTTTTCCTCAGCACATGGATAATTCTCAAGGATACACCATATGTTACCTCAAAAAACAAGTCTTAAAACATTCAAAAAATTGAAATAATTTCAAGCATCTTCTCTGACCACAATGCAATAAGATTAGAAATTAGTAATAAGAGGAATTTAGAAAACTACACAAATACAAGAAAATTAATCAATATGCTCCTGGGTCAATGAAGAAATTAAGAATAAAATAAAGAAAAATTTCTTGAAACAAACGATCATGGAAACACAATACACCAAAACCTATGTGATATATTAAGAGAGAATGTATATAATATATAAGAGAGAGAGAGTGTGTCTATACATGTATAGTATAGACGTGTGTGTGTGTGTGTGTGTGTGTGTGTGTGTATGTATTTCAAACTTGCTCGAAAAGCTTTCTTCCTTTGTTAAAGGAAAAGAAAGGGACGCTTCTATGTTTCTGAGAGAGGCGGATTGTTTACAAATAAAGTAATAATCATGATTACTGTATCTCACCACTATTCTATTTGGGAGAGATTTCTGTATTAATATTGTTTAATATCTGCAAAATATATTTAATATATCAGGGTGAAAGCACACTGACAAGGCAGAATGAAGAAACAAAAACAAAAGAAAAATTGTGAGGATTTGCACGTTTGACATTACTTGAGAATTATGTCAAATTTTCCTAGTTAAATAAAAAAGTCATAATACTTAGCATCTGCATGTTTAATAATACAAAATCTGTGATCGGTCAAAATTCTTTAGGGTAACTATTTACCTCCTTTTGTTTTTCACAGAATGATATAGGAGGGCAGAGAATACTCGTGAATAAGTGGAGCACTTTCCTAAAAGCCAGACTGGTTTGCTCAGTACCAGGAACGAATAGAATTGACACATATTTTGATGAATTAGGTAAATGTTTTTAGGTGAATTAAATTTGCTCTTTTGTGTATATGCTTTGTAACTTTATCTCTAGGACAAATAGAAAACTTATTTTCTGTGTATTTGACCTCTATCTAACATAGAGCAAGTCTCTGTTCTTTTCATTTTGGCCAGGCCCACATGCTGGGGGAAAAGAAATTGCAAGAACAAAAGCAGGCTCATCTTGTTAGCTTAGAGTCAGTGTCTGGTTCCTTCCTGTTGTTCAGCTCAGGGCCACCCAGAGCAGCTGAAGGATTGGCTCTGTTAAAGCTTGGTCATGGTTGTACAATTGTATATTGAAAATATACGTCTTAAAATCTAAATTGGGTTCTAAACAAATCTATGTCAACACATTTTCTTTGCATGTGAAGAGAGCTAACAATACTAAGTGATGGAACGGTCTTTACTTTTTCAGAGGACATTTTCTTGCTACCTACCAGAGATCATAAGAATCCAGTGATATTTGGACTCTTTAACACTACCAGGTGAGAAATTTATACAGTCAGTAAAACAATATAAATCAAGAGACACCTCACTGGACTCTCCCTTCTTGGTGTATGTAACTTGAAAGACTATTAACCCAGTTGCTGTTCTCATTTTCTATTCTTTATAAGTCACCAGTTGATCTTTATTCTCCAGTGTTTGCAAATGAACTTTCATTTTCCAAAGCTCAATCTCAATCCAAATCCTGTTTTAGTGTAGTACCCAGAATCCTCCTGTGCTCAGTATCCTAATCTCTTCACTCTCTAATCTAGAACACAGTGATTTTTTCCCCACATACAGTTCATAAGATATCAGTCCTTACAATGTGTTATTATTGTAAAAGTCTAGGATAATTCCTTTATTCATCATATAAAATTTTCCAAGCCAGGCTTTCAGGCTTCTATATCAGCTGTTACTCACTCACCTCTGGATATTTTCCCTCTGAGTTCACTAATGGTCTGATTTTGAGAAGATAATGCCTTGACAGATGCCAGACAGTGTCTGCTTTGCTAGTTTCCATTACTATGTTTTTATTTATTCACTTATCTTGCTTGAAACGACTTTCTCCTCCAATACTGATTTAAACCAGTTCTCCAATACTTATCAATTGCCACATCCAAGAAAAATTCCTTGATTTCTTAATCCCAGAGCACTCTTCCCACTCCTTTATTCTGCTTTTCCTGCTCTTATGTTGATTCACAGTGAACACATGTTCATCATTTGCTCTCTATCTTTTAAATTTGCTGCTCAAGTTTAAGATACATAATCTTTTGTTTTCCCTTTTATGTTTTTGTATTTTTTACCATGATAAAGTGCTATAAAAATGGATAAAATATTATTTCATGTATTTTGATACACAAATAAAAATATTAGAATCAGTTTTCATTGAAAGGTTATATACACAATTTCCTGAGTATGTTTCTAGATAAGGCGTAGTGTAGGTGAAATGACTAGGATAAAAAATAAAGAAGAATATACGTCAGTTATCTTGACAGTGCCAGAATAATATTACTGAATTTCTCTTTTACTTTGTATAAGCCATAAACTGTCACAAATTATGTATACTATGTTTACATGGGGTCTTTCCACACAGCTTTAGTTTTTTATTTTTCAGCAGGTGGTTTTTAATGCTCATTTTAGACAAGAATATAATACATCTCTTTAGACGAGAATCCTGCTGTTGCAAAGAGACCTTTCCTTCAACAGAGAAACATGGAAACAATTTGTCTATCAATTATTCTTTGATGCAAAGAACAATAGTTAATGTAAGTTAGTAGTTATCACAGTACATGGAGAATACTTAACTTTTTAAACTTCACCTCATTTCTTATGCTGTGAATAATTCATACATTGCCTGATAATTCAGTGGATTTATATGATAAATTTAAGCTATGGAATAATCAGTATAGTTTTTCTATGGATTAATAAGATCAGATTATAAGCTGTTTTCCTAAATGATAGCATAAGGGCTCTGTCTGAGAAATCAAACATAAGACATGATTTTCTACTATAATTTCTGTTTTGACTGTTTAATTTATATAAGTCTGAGAACAAAAGCTTCCCAGCTGTTACCTGACATAAGGATTGCTATTTGTAGGATGGTGATCAAAGGTGTGCTGCTACTTTAGTTAGGGGACTATCTCAAGTGTTCCCTGTATCCTAGGCATTTCCAATTGCTTCAAGGTGTGTTATAAAATCTGTAAATTGGTGCTGTAGGACAGTAATATAAATTCTGTTTTACAGGTGTCTCAGGATGTAGGAAACTTTATTTATATAGAACTTTGAATTTTGCAAGATGCTTTCACAAACATTAGTTATTTGGATTCTTACAATACAGAGAATCTGATAATGTTAAAATTCATTCAGTTCATGCTAAATTAAGAAATATGGCCAGATTGTTTTAAAAAATAGTCTTTAAAAATGTTCTTTTTTAGACTCTGATTACAAATGCCTTCAATGAAGCTTGCCATAGTTAGTCAACTACTGCCTTTATCCTGTCAAGTAGAAATTTTAATCAAGAAAATTATTTTGCTCACTGTTAGTTCTGGAGATGAGACACCTAAGTTTTACATAACGAAATTTTCTCATGCTTAACATATGCAGTCCAGCCATCTTTTTACTATAGATACTTTTCGGTGACTGGAGGAAGAAATATACAAGCATGTTAATGTCTATATGAACCCAGCTAAAAAATGGGAAAAAAAGGCTTAAATTTTCATAAGACTTTAAATTGTTCTTGAACTCACATACATTAATAAATTTAATACATCTTAATAGACTTTGTAGCAATAGTAACAGCATAGTGAGTGAGAAAACACCGTCTACTTTGAAGATAGAACAACATAAGAGGAGATAATACCTAAATGAGTAATTCAACTTGGGAATAAGTCTTTGTTAATATGAAGGCCAGATCTCTCTTAATAAAAAAATATAAAACACAATACCAGATTTAAAAATAAGTGAAGTGACATTACTTTTGTCATTCTAACAATGCCATTTTCAGTTGTATTAAGTAGGCAATTAAGAAAATGGTAAGTTTTAGAGTTTCAAAATTTGAAATATTGCAATAGTTAACATATCTAGAATGTTTTTTGCTTAAAGAAATTGCAACTACTTTACCCAAAAGACTTGACTCTTATCTTTGTAGGCTGGAGTGTTTGGCGAAGTGACCTGCTAGTTAGTTCCAGAATAAAAATTATCTTTTTTGTATTTTCAGTAATGTTTTTCGAGGGCATGCTATATGTGTCTATCATATGTCGAGCATTAGGGCAGTCTTCAACGGACCCTATGCACATAAGGAAGGACCTGAATACCACTGGTCAGTCTATGAAGGAAAAGTCCCTTATCCAAGGCCGGGTTCTGTAAGTTTACTTATGTAACAAATAATTCTTATTTTAAGGACTCTTTTGGTAATATTTTGTTCACGGTTTCATGTGCTAAATGTTTGCTCTCCAAAGCTCACAGAGCACATACAATGATCTAAAGTTTTTCCAACCTAGTTGCACACAGGATGAGTAATGCAAAATCATCATTTCATCATCGCCATTACTATCATCACCACTTTTAGCCTTTGTAATTAAACAATTAAGGAATTCTAAACCTAAAAGTATGCTCGGTGAAAAGTGAGTGTAGTAAAGAAATATTTCAGATCTCAAGTTTTATGTTTGTTATTTAATAAAAATATATAATGGACAAAGTAGCATTACAAAATATATTTATTATCAATATTTTGGCTAAGTAACACCAATTAAATTTTTATTTTTAAAAGCAATTGTACATGAGCCAACAAACATATGAAAAAATGCTCATCATCACCAGTCATTAGAGAGATGCAAATCAAAACCACATTGAGATACCATCTCACACCAGTTAGAATGGTGATCATTAAAAAATCTGGACCAACAGATGCTGGAGAGGATATGGAGAAACAGAAACACTTTTACACTGCTGGTGGGAGTGTAAATTAGTTCAACCATTGTGGAAGACAGTGTGGCAATTCCTCAAGGACCTAGAAATAGAAATTCCATTTGACCCAGCAATCCCATTACTGGGTATATATCCAAAGGATTAGAAATCATTCTACTATAAGGACACATGCACACGAATGTTCATTGCAGCACTGTTTACAGTAGCAAAGACCTGGAACCAACCTAAATGCCCATCCATGATAGACTGGACAGGGAAAATGTGGCACATATACACCATGGAATATTATGCAGCAATCAAAAATGATGAGTTCATGTCCTAACCTGGAAACCATCATTCTCAGCAAACTGACACAACAGAAAATCAAACACTGCATGTTCTCACTCATAGGTGGGTGTTGAGCAATGAGAATGCATGGACACATGGAGGGGAATATCAAACACCGGGGTTTGTTGGGGGAAATAGGAGAGGGACAGCGGGGGATGGGGAGTTGGGGAGAGATAGCATGGGGAGAAATGCCAGATATAGGTGATGGGGAGGAAGGCAGCAAACCACACTGCCATGTATGTACCTATGCAACAATCTTGCATGTTCTTCACATGTACCCCAAAACCTAAAATGCAATTAAAAATAAAGTACTTGTGAACACAGAAACGTTCAGTAACATGAGCATCATATTTCTCTCAGCCTCTTCAGTGGAGTTAGTGCCACATATAATTTCGAGCAGGAGAATGCCACCAAATTTTTATATCCTAATGTTAAAATCAGCCTCTAAATTCCCTAGGCCAAACTGTCTCCTTCTTATTGTAGGAAATCTAAAAAAAAGTTTTTTTTCTCTACCTCGTCAGAATACATAGCATCTCATTTACCATCTTTGCTGGCCCCTTAGGAAAGAAATGCCAATACAAAAGTGTTGCTAGGATACAAAATTCTACCACTTGCCTCTAAACTGTTCTACTAAGATTCTTCTTAGCTAGGCATGCAGACTTTTGCGCTTTTAGCACACATGGCTAAACGTGGTGATGATAGTGATGGCGATGATGAAATGATGATTTTGTATCACTCATCCTGTGTGCAACTAGGTTGGAAAAACTTGAGATCATTCTATGTGCTCTGTGAGCTTTGGAGAGCAAACATTTAACTTGTCACACGAGTCAACATCTATACTCTTACAAGCAGCTGGTGAAATCCCATCACTATACTGATTCCACAATTACTTGCAAGTCAATAGAAACTGTTATTGTAGAGCCAAAACCCGAAGTGGAAACAAACCTTACCTCCATTAACAAGTGTTAAGACTTTACCATTTTAATCACGCTCTCTCACTAGCTAAAAATTATGACTTCCAGAGAGACATAGAGTATATTTTATTTCATTCTATTGATTGAAATTACAATTTTAAATGGAGAAAACCTACTCCTGTGGTTTTGCTGGAAATGCTTCTTGAAACCACATGGTCTTAAAGGAGATTTGGAGGAAGTGACTGGTTATGGAACTGCTTCCAAGCTAGACCAAAATGTTTCCAATTATGTATCGTGAAAGTACACTCAAGTGAAAAATCCATTCCAAATTAGGAAATAAGGTCTGGTTTTAAAAACCACACCATTATCAATGCCCTCTTTGTGGAATCAGATTACTAAACTACTGTATTTATACTATAAAGTGGAAAATTTTTATCAAGACAATCATTGAAATTGCTGCTAGTTCTGGAGGAAAATATGTAAAATGAGGGAGCACTTACTAAAAAGCATGAATCAACACATTTAAAGGTTTTCCAATGAGTAACTTAAGCTGCTGTTGAATATTTAATTTTATAGTCAGTGATTTAAAAATTGGCATTGTATAGTACATATTTCATGTTTTCCTAGTTTATTTTGTGAAATCCATTAACAAATACAAACTCATATAGATTATAGTAAATAGAGAGTGTTTTTATGCCATTGGTAATTAGCAGTGATAACAGCTGAATAGGTTTTCATGTAACAGCACTAAACTTCTATAGTCAGTGAGCCAAATAGAACTATCATTGATCATATTATCGTAGACTTAGTAATGGTAAAGCCATTTTGTACAGCTGTGATCCTTAGTTAGACAGAAGTTTCAGCACAACAAAGAGATTTCTTTTGTATGAACAATAGATTATTTCCCTTCAAAATTTAACTTATATCACAAAAACCAGATTTCAAAATCAGCAAAAATAATGTGAATATATAGTGATGTTAAAAATTTTACCACCCTCAAACTGTCTTGATATTAACTATACCCTTTTCCAAAATTTTTCTAGTTTTCTGTATATCTAGTGCTGCATGTACTTCTGAACCTAAAATAAAAGTTAAAAAAAAGAAAAATATATGGTTACTTATTTCTAAATGCACAATTGACAATTTGACACCTTCAGTTTTTCTGATTCTTCTCATAATTGATTTCACATTTTCTCTTTAGCTGTAAGGCTAAAAGAATGATTGAATCCACTTGTTTTTCAGTGTGCCAGCACAGTAAACGGAGGGGGATACAGAACCACCAGGGACTATCCTGATGATACCATCCGATTTGCAAGAAATCATCCACTAATGTACCAGGCCATAAAACCTGCCCATAAAAAACCAATCTTGGTAAAAACAGATGGAAAATATAACCTGAAACAAATAGCAGTGGATCGAGTGGAAGCTGAAGATGGCCAATATGATGTCTTATTTATTGGTACAGGTACAGAGATGAGAAAGTACTCAGAGACATTTAAATTGACCTTTAAATTAAGTAATTTTAATAATATTTCTAAAAGTACCTATCAACAAATCTGTTCATTACTAACCCATTTCACACAGCTAATCCAAATGAAAAAGAATGAAATAGAGACCTCATGTGACTGCAATAGTAAGAGTTTATGCCAATTGTCTGGGAATATTATCACTTTCACTGTCAGGAGTGTCATGGTTTGACCAAAAAAATATGTGGTTTGTTTCAGATATGGGAAATATTAAAGCTACCAAAGAGAGGATTTGGGGTTTATATAGCACATAATTCATTATGCATAATCAGTACTTCATATGCATCAATAAATGAATAAGTGAAGAAATGAATAATAGATGTTAATGAACAAAGTTTGTTTCAAATAGAAGTTCTCATAGTGGAAGTAGAGTGTCATAGCAAGAATGGTTCTGTCAGTTTCCCACCTTTATTACTGCCTTTGCTCAGTGAGTCCTGGAGATTTTGTAAACAACTTGGAACTTGGGACAATAACTTCACCTAAATCTATAAGCATCTTAATCCTTATGAGTCCATGTCAAGATCAACCATTTGTACCAAGCAGGCTAAATGTTACCCATAATATCCTGTATTAATAAAGTATGATAAATATGCTAAAAGTGACATTTTCAAATAAATGTATAATTTCAATTAACCCATACATTAGATCTAACTTGTAGAATAGAACTTGAAATCTTTCAGCCTCCAGAGTAGTATGTGGCAAATTCTTTGAAGTGTTTTAAAATTCTATAATCATTTTAAAAATGTTTAAGATGATTCTTTTTATTTAGCGTAGTAATTGCTAGAGTAGTTGATCTTTAGAGAAGTAAGCATTCTAACATACATGACTTTAATCGTAGATATATAATTCTGAAGAAATATTGGAATAAGCCCAGATCAGGAAACAGGATGTAATATTAATATTAATATTAATATTGGTGCTTGGGCTTCTCCAATACTCCTTTTTTCTTCTTTGAAATGAAGTTTTGCTTTCGTTGCCCAGACTGGAGTGCAATGGCGTGATCTCAGCTCACCACAACCTCCGCCTCCCAGGTTCAAGCGATTCTCCTGCCTCCACCTCCAGAGTAGCTGGGATTATAGTCATGTGCCACCACACGTGGCTAATTTTGTATTTTTAGTAGAGATGGGGTTTCTCCATGTTGGTCTGGCTGGTCTCAAACTTCTGACCTAAGGTGATCCACCCACCTTGGCCTCCCAAAGTGCTGGGATTACAGGCATAAACCACTGCACCCAGCCATTTGTTGTTTTTAAAAGCTAAGATTTAAGCAAGAAAACATCTATCTTATTCTTAGAAATTGATCTCTGGTACAAGCTGTATTTTATTCATTCATTTTAGGAAGTTAATGTTAATATTAATAATGTACTCTGCACTATGAATTCAAGGTTAACATGTCGTCAGATTTCTTTAACAAACTGAAATTACTTGGTCATAAATTCAATTATAGTGACTATCAACAAATTTTTTTAAAGTTTCATAATCAATAATAATATATGATAAAAGTAATTAAAGTATTAGTTTGGTGCAAAAGTAATTGCATTTTTTGCTGTTACTTTAATGACAAAAATTAGTCCAAGAATGTTTTTAGAAATACTTGCTTGTCATATTGGTCAAAGTCATTCCAGAGAATTCCAGAAGTATCAAGCATCTATTTGTGCTGCCATATACACCATGTTTAAAGTAGCTTTCAGTAAACAATTTTCTTGCATCATGCATCACAGAAAAAAGTAGCTAGAATAATTTGGCATCTTTCTTATGTTTTATTAATTCTAAAAGATATTTTTATTTTTAAATCTATGATCAGATTTTTGGATCCAGCTATTTGAAATAATCATTATTTCCTCTTCTTTTCTGGCCAGGCATATAAAATTAATTTTGCTATTAAAAATATGAGTTTATAAGTCATCATATTGTTTTAAACTGGCAGTGATTAAAATGTTTCATGCTTCTGGATTTCAAATCCTATTTGAATTTATAGTCACTACTGTTTTTTTTTTTTTTTTTTTTTTTAGATGAAAGCTTCTCTGTTACCCAGGCTGTAGTGCAGTGGCATGATCTTGATGATCTTGGCTCACTGCAAACTCCGCCTCCCACATTCAAGTAATTCTCCTGCCTCAGCCTCCTGAGTAGCTGTGATTACAGGCACTCACCACCATGGCTGGCTAATTTTTCTTTTTTGTCTTTTTAGTAGTGACAGGTTTTTGCCGTGTTGGCCGGCCTAGTCTTGAACTTCTGACCTCAAGAGATACACCCTGACCCAGCTTCCCAACATAATGGGATTATAGGCATAAGCCATCTTACCCAGTCAGCTACAGGGATTTTAATTATTTGAAAACCAGACTGTGACATAGCTTCTAGTTTATTTCTTGTTTTGTTTTCTTGTAGATAATGGAATTGTGCTAAAAGTAATCACAATTTACAACCAGGAAATGGAATCAATGGAAGAAGTAATTCTAGAAGAACTTCAGATATTCAAGGTATTTAAAGTAAAAAATACAGACCAAAGTTATGCATTACAACTACAAGTGAGATGTAAATAGGAAAGATATTATGTCTATTTTTTACCAACAGGTGTGTTGTGGATTCAGAGTTAATATAAGTGAATAATTATTTCAAATTTTAATACATCTATTTTATTTTTACAGACTTTTCAACTGAGAGGTCAATATTTACTTAGCATGGAAAGAATTTCAGTGAATAAACTGTGACTATAAAGAAATAACATTTATACTACATATAATTTTCAAAGCCAGTATTACAATCACATCTTGCACAAATATACTGTTAGTGCTGAGAAAAAATAATACACTTTCATATTGTGAACATTGTGGTAGGATAAGCGTACTGTTTTTTATTAAGTGCATCGATTATACAAAGAATTTACTAAAAAAGAAAAACAATAGAAAATGATAATGAAAAGATTAGACATGAAAAAACAATTACATATGCAGACACACATATACATAGGTGTATGTGTATATATATGTGCGTGTGTGCATATATATGCACCACACATGCACTTATACAACCCCCTCCAACACACACACACACATCAAGTCATATCATTCGCAGCAGTTTTGGTTTTTAAAGTGGTTATAACACTGAACTATTGAATATTGACCACTGCTCCTGTGGGAAACAAGGGGTTATGTTCCAGGAGATTTCTAATTATAACATAATTGTCAACAGATCAATTCTTAACTTTCTTTTATGCGTGTTTGTGTTTAAAGACACCTTATTTAATATGTATTGCTGATGGATTAACATTGAACTCACAGCCAACAGTGCTATAATCCATGCCTGAATGAAGCTTATCTAAGGAAGGAATTTTCAATGTTAAGGCACAGTGAAGCTGTTTTGAGTTTAGGAACATTAAACAGAACTTCAGCACTATGCTTGGGGGCCATTTAAAAAAAACAAAAAGCACAGACATGTGACAACTTTGGCACTACATAATCCATGAAAAAGATACTTATTTACACTAAGAAAGCTGAAACAAGAAGGCAGAGTGACACCTTGTTTCATCTCAGCTGGAAATGTGCATGTCCTGTGACTCAATTTTTTTGCTGTTCTGAGCGTGCAGGTGTCCATGAGTGAAAAACACACAATGTCTTGATATTGGGGATAGAATAAATTTTAGCAAGTAGGTTAATTTGCAAGTACAGAATCTGTGAATAACAAGGATTGGCTATATATGTTTATAATGGATATATGTGAAAAGATATTATAAATGAAAAGCAGTACATTTTGCCTTTGCTGTACTAGAATGCAGATTCCCTAGAGTCACACCCAAAGCTAACCACCATCCTATATCAACCAAAGCAGCTATGCTTTTGTTTATTTTGCACTCTGGGACTCTATATAAGATTTCGTTTCATGTTATGAAATGAAATGTGTTTAATATTTACTCACCACAGTGTTTTGTTCATGTAAACTCTTAAGAACATTGTTGCCTGAATGAATAAATGTATAAAAGCATAAAGATTCTGTAGTTTAAAATTTAAAAAAAACCACTGACATAGAGGATCAAATGTTCCCTTTTAGAAAACAGTTCTTCAAAGGATAATCATCCCCAGAGTGCATTTCACCTGCCTGTGGTTTTCCACTTGCATAGATGATCTGAGTTTGTTGTTTTTCTTAGGGGTGGACTAGCCTTCACAATCCTAAAGCAAAATATTGATTCTCAAAGCTATGGTATAAATTGTCCTTCCTCTGGTGCAGTTCTGAGAAAATCAGGTTATTCATCTTGTTCAAAGGATCCTGAGTTAATTGTGATTCACCACGATCACTCCAACAGAAAAATATTTTGTTTAGGTTTGGGTTTAAATGATTAAAGATCACTTGGTTTATTAGCAATAACACCTACTGAAAGACACACTGGTTTCATTTTAATGGTTCAGTTACGTTAACAGAAAGAACATTCTGACTTTATTACTTTATTTAAAGATACTTGAGTTTCCAAAGCACAAGTAATATTCAAATGTAAATACAAAAACCATATTCAAGAGACAAACAGTAAGCTGGTTGTATCACCTACTGCTCTTCTCATCTGCAAATCTGCCCACCTCATTAGAAAAAAAGTTTTTAAAGCTGTATTTTAATTGTATTTGCATATTGATTTATTAAAATGAAAGCTATAGAGTGCTTAACACAGAACCACTTACATAGCTAACATAATTTCAGGAATTGACCAGCATATTAAGGTAAATCTTTTTATATTATTTTCTAAAAAATGAAACCTTTTTTAAAATTTCAGGATCCAGTTCCTATTATTTCTATGGAGATTTCTTCGAAGCGAGTAAGTTGTCTATGTGTGTGTGTGTGTGTGTGTGTATGTGTGTATGTGTGTGTAGCTCTGTGTGTTCTATATGTAAGCTAAGGTCAAAGGATATGTGCTTATATCTGAACTTATTACAGTTTTATTTTTATTTTATTACCTTATTTTATTGTAGGAAGAACATGTGATCTACCCTGTTAACAAAATATTAAGTGTACAATACATGTTTAATGACTATAGGTAAAGTGTTGTACTGCAGACTTCTAAACCTTATTAATCTTGTTTGACTGAAACTTTATGTCCATTGCCTGGTTCTGACAAAAGCATATCATGATTTACATTTAATACATGTCTTCATTTTCTATCTCTATGGAAAGGTAGATGAGAGTAGTTTTACTTACATAATCATGATAGCACATTATTCCGTGGCTGTTTTTCACTAATGTTTTTCAAAAACAATGGTAACAATGATAATCCAAGAGTGTGCAATGAAATATACCTCTTTTCTACTTCACTGAAATCAGTTTAATGTAAACTTCTTTAGAAACACTTGTACATAGTACCCCAAATTTATTTATAAATAATTCTTCATGTTCAGGCAAAAGGAAAGATATGATACTAAAAGTTCAGCTACCTGTTCCGTAGATAGATAGATAGATATACACGTCATTCTTCTAAATGTTATAGGTCAATATTTAAGAGGCCATTTACTTTCCAAATCTCTTATTAAGTGTTCCTATAGATTTGTTTTCTGTTTTGAGATAAGGTCTCACTGTGTCACTCAGGCTGGAGTTTTGGTGGTGCAATTATAGCTCACTGCAGCCTGGACTGCCCAGGCTCAGGTCATCCTCCCACTTCAGCCTATCGAATAGCTGGGACCACAGGTGTGTACTTCCATGCCCAACTAATTTTTGTATTTTTTGTAGAGACAGAGTTTTACCATGCTTCCCAGGCTGGTCTCAAACTCCTGGGCTCAAGCAATTCACCTGCCTTAGCCTCCCAAAATGCTGGGATTACAGGCAGAAGCCACTGCACTCAGCTGTTTCTATAGTTCTTTAAAAAAAGATCTGCAGTGTTGGATAATGCAAGACAATGAACACAGCATTTTGAGTTCTTGTCAAGTTCAGTCTAGCAATGTTGGTACTCCTGCATTTATGTCTATGAATGTATCTCAAATTTTAGAGAAATAAAAATATAAATATTCTATTACCTATATTGAACAACTGCTATAATTTTTGTGTGTGTGTGTGATAGAGTTTAACTGTTGTCTCCCAGGCTAGAGTGCAGTGGCATGATCTCGGCTCACTGCAACCTCCACCTCCGAGGTTCAAGCAATTCTCCTGCCTTAGCCTCCTAAGTAGCTGGGATTACAGGTGCCCACTACCATGCCTGGATAATTTTTTGTGTTTTTAGTAGAGATGGGGTTTCACCACATTGTGCAGCCTGGTCTCAAACTCCTGAAACTGCTATAATTTAAGTGAATTTTTATTGAGGTGATTGTGTGCAAATGTGAAAACTAGGTGTAATAGCTCAGTGAAAGTTATGTCCATTTCTGCTAGTGACCTCTTTTTGATTTCTATAGCAACAGCTATATATTGGATCAGCTTCTGCCGTGGCTCAAGTCAGATTCCATCACTGTGACATGTATGGAAGTGCTTGCGCTGACTGCTGCCTGGCTCGAGACCCTTACTGTGCCTGGGATGGCATATCCTGCTCCCGGTATTACCCAACAAGTACACATGCAAAAAGGTGAGACCTGTTACCTGATGAACTATTTCCCTTACTCAGGAAAACCCTAATAACCCTAATGTTGGGGTTTTTTTTTTTTTTTGGTCTTTTTCTTTTTTTTATACATTCCATGAAAAATAACCAAGCTATTTTTATTTAAATAAATCATCATAGTTATATTTTGTTCATAATAGAAACTTTGAACGCTTGAAGTTTTCCAGAAAATACCTGTATTAATTATTGTTTATAAAGACTGGAGCTGAGCATGCTGTTGACCTTTTATTTTTTCACCCAGGTTTGAGTCAGTTCTTCCCTCTTTTGAAACTTTTGCTGCAAGATATGAAACAAGTTTAGATAAAGTGGAAGTGTGGAAATGGTGAGCCACCACACATGAGAGATTCAAAGACTTAAAAAGAAAATAAATAAAGAAATTCTAAAATACATCCTGCATTTGCCCCATGTCCTTTCTAACAGCTGGTCTTCATTTAGTTCATTTTGAAAGTGATTATTTTAACTCCTAGGCAAATGCATGACCTGTATAATTAATGAAATGTGTGATTTAATTCAACACAAATGAAAGGTACTTAAAGACCTCCAAACGCCAGTGTCTACAAATCTGTGAGGTCATTGCCATTTCCTATAGAAGGTAAATCCCAGGATTCTTTAAGCAGAGATCTTGAGATGCAGTTAAGTATTTTGAAGAATAAGGATATCTCTTCACTCAAGCCATATGAAGTTGTGCATTCTTTGTGGAAATACCTCAGGAAAAATGTATTTTTTTCTTACAGAATAAGCAGTTTCTTTCTTGTAATAGATGACCAAAGGCAAAATAAAAGACAAAATAGAAATACAGACAATTTTCCTACTGAAAAACAGTTTGTATTAATTTCAGTTATTTTTATTATTTAACTGGGTTGCATTTCTATAAACCTTTTTAGAATATAATTTAACCCAATTTAGTGTAGTTCTTGTTTTATATGTTCAAATATGTAGTAGAATCTCATTAAAAACTTTTATTAATTTTACTTGAGCTAAATTAACACTCCAGTGAGTATTTTAAGAAATGATATAATAAGCAGATAGTAAAATTATGCTTCGAGAGGATGTGTCTGAACTAAATTTACCAACTGTGTTACAGAATTGAGCAAATTAATTGATTTTGCGGAATGCTTGTTGATGTTTGAAAACAATTCTCAAAGATTATAGTCATATAATTATTTGAAAATATTAACTCTTAGTGTATTTGCCTATTAAGCCAATTACTGTACTATGTGCAACGGTTATGAAGAAACAATCATAAACTTTTGTCTAAAGGAAATTGGAAACTGAAGAATGGAATTGTAAATAATGACAGTAAGTAGTAGCTTGCTATTGAGCACTTACTGTGGATGAGGTACTGGATTAAGAGCAATGCATATAAAACTTTATTTGATTCTCAAAATAATATGACTTTTGAACTTAATCTGGAAGGTAGATATATAAGATGATTCCAGTCAAAGGGAATTAATTGTCTGTACAAATAAATAGAACACTTAGGGAAAAGCATGCAGTACCATGGGTCAGGAGTGAAATAGTAGAAGAATACGAGGGTAGAATGTGGATTTTACCACAAATAACAACATTATTTTATTTTTATTAGCAACAATACAAATATTTATAAGCTTTGCACCAAATGCTTATGAATGACAAGGTTTTGTGTTAGGCATGCAGTAGTGATCATCAATTTTAATTTAGTAGCTTCCATAGTTTTGTTTTTTTTTTGTTTTGTTTTTTAGTATATGATGCATCTTTTAACAGTGTACAGCCTTTAGCTTGATAACATAGTAGATGTGGTGGACAAAAAGAGTTACTTAGAAAAAGTCAAGTGAATGAGAAAAGTAGTAGACAGGAAGGCATGAAATGCAGGAGTCAGAAGCTGTGCTCATAAATGAATTAGCTCAGTTCAGTGACATGTAATGGAGATCTTTCAGTGGTGTCAAATTCTTTTGAACCATCACTCACCCCTGGAGGAGAACTTTTTGGGAAAGTTCCAGCTCATGAAGGTAAAATGGTTTGCTTTTATAGCAGATCGTTTTTGCTTCAGACCTGAATAGAAGGAGAAATTGAAAACTGGTCATTAAAATAAATACTTTTCTGTTCACAGAGTGAAAATGAGGCAACAGGGGAAAAACATTAATTCACAATCCAAACCACTTGTTTAAAATGACCTTCCAAAATACATTGTGGTTTATAATGCTAGGTCTTTTTCTTCCCCTTGTTCTTGTGTTTTGTCTATTTCCAGTATTCTCTTTAAAAATTTATAGGAGAGGCTAGAGATATGAGAATAATATGCAACTTTGAGAATAAAAGCAACTTTGCTCAACCTTTCTGAAACTCCTCCATATATATATATATACACACACACCACCTCCCCCCCACACACATTTATGTACTGAAGAAAAGGAATAAAGGACAACTATAATAGGATAATAAAATGAACTGAAACCTTGCTGGAGAATGTGATATCTTTCTTTTTAAATGTATGTTTCCAATAACTTTTAGCAATATTTGTGCACTCAGTTCTGGATGTTGCTTATCTAGAATTATTTGATTATAGCTTCCTTATCCTCACATAACTTGTTTAATAATCTTTATACAACATCATCTCTGCAAAGTGGAAGCCATTTCATTTCACTGATTTTATTCTTATCCATTATTCATTATTGCTCCTCAGCCTTTAGGTTCTCAATATAGAAGCAATACTCAACAAAGTGAGGAATTAACAGCAGCATTTTAATTCTCATCTAGACCTGCTATTAGCTGTATCATAGCTGTATATGCTAGTATAATATAGAAGTGAAAACATACTTCTGTACACAGGTCATAATCCCAAAAATTGATTGGAGATGTTAATCTGCCCTAGTTTTCAGTATCTATTTATTTGTTAAATAAGATCTGAACTCCTGTGTGAGAAAGCACTTGATCTCTTGAAATAGCACTCTATTGTTGTTATGTATAAACAGTGCACCCTAGAATGAAAAAAAGAGAGACTGAAATAGATTTTAGGTGTCATTTTGCCACCTTTATTTTACAAGGGAGGACCCAAAGAGCCAGGAAAGGGAAGAAATATGCATAAGATTATATAGAATATTAGTGGTGGTATTGGGAATTAAATCTGGTTCTCTTTTCCAAATTTCATCATTGCATATGGTTAAAGCATCTCATTGTCACTTTGGAAGCTATGCTATCACCCTCCAGGGTAAAACTTCTGCTTTGCCTTCTGTTTTTCCCTCAGTCTTGAAGAAATGCCATAAATTAGAGAAGCAAGTGATATTTTCCACCTTTATGTAATACTTCTATTTTAATCTGTAAACTAAATTAAGTATCTCCTAGATCTTGATTTAGAATTTCAATGCTAACTAATGATAATTCCCATTGTTTAATCCCTCAGAAAAATGCTTACAAATTATATCATTTTATATATATATGTGTATATAAAATATTATATATTTAAAGGATTATGTTTTTAGATATAGTCAAAACATATATTATATATGCTAGAATTATATATATAATATATATATTCAAAACATTGTATATTTATCTATTCTGAAAAAAAAATATATATATAATGCTTTATATATATAAATATATATAGTTTGGAATTTCTCCACAGATACAGAATATTGTATTTTTTCAGTTACATATCTAAACAATCTATGAAATTAAAAGTATACTAGAAATGTCTCTGATTATACTAGGCAGATTGAAGGGGAAAATATTAATATTTCTTGAGTACCACTAGATGCACAACATACTGCTAAACATGAATAACACACCATCACATCAAATAGAGCCATATACTTTCTCAATGTTATATCCGAATAGTAAGCTGAGTACAGTATATTATTAGTTTATATCTTATCTTTAGAAATTCTGTTTGTACTAATTGATGATGATGGCTATAGAGCAAAATATTTTGGATTCTAACACCTTTTTAATTTGCACTTTATTATATATGGGAGTTTTATACTCCAAATAACTGTTTTGTACTGACTAAATACTCTACTTCAAATCCCATTGTCTTTATTTGCCCAAACACTTTACCATTCAAGACATTCTTAAACTAGAAGATTTTTTGTTGAACGAAATTTTTAACAAAAAGTAAAGAGAAATTTGTCCAATCGTAGTTGAGTTTCCAGAATTCAACATTATGTAAATTAAAAACAGGGTAACATAGATCTTAGCTACTGAAGAACATATAATGGAAATGTGAAAAACTATGAAACTTGGATTTTATCCTTATTTCATATGAATGATCTTTTTTTCAGTAGCAGAATACTACTCGTATATTTAATGCAATTGGCTATATTTTAAAGCCTGCAAAATTGAAATATGAACATCTAAATGCATTTACTTTCTTTCAGGCGTTTCCGCAGACAAGATGTTCGGCATGGAAATGCAGCTCAGCAGTGCTTTGGACAACAGTTTGTTGGTAATCTATAGAAAATCAATTGTTCTGGGTTACTCGGAGAATACATTGAAGATAAACTGCAAACCTCTTAAAAGAGATTTATTTTCCTTGCGATTCATGTTATTCTAGAACAATGTAATGAGAAGTATTCTTTTTCTCTCACATGTAGTTAAAATTTTGTAAATTTGACATCTAATTTTACATGATTAGGAAAATAAGTTTTATACACTACCAAGCTTTGTTATTAAGCTAATTATTAAAACAGAAACCCTGGAACAATAATGCTGCATACTTTAGGTGGTAGATGCCACAGTGACTCATATGACTTACCGCTTTATCTCATACTGGGGGAATATCTTCACCATGTTATATAGCTTCCAGGGATTTTATCAACCGATATTACTTGTATCAAGTCATCTCCTAAGCTTTGAGATAGATACAGTGAAAAAGCTTTCTCTCTTTTACCTAAGTTGACTAAGCGTAGTGCTGTGGTTGGTGGTTCAAAAAAGGTGATAGGGTGGTGGTCTGTGATGGGCAAGGAAAGGAGGAAATTTCATCTTTAGGCAAAAGTAAGGAAGTTAAGACAATTTCTCTATTAACACTCTCCTGAGTCTTTCTGTTATGGTGGTGATTGTTGACTAGGCTATATTTAGTGTAACTGAGCTCACTAGGAAGTAACAGGAAGAAGGGATACCATAAATGAGAAACCAGAAGTGGTAATAGACAAAGTCAGAAACTGTGCTCCGGCATCACTTTGCTGGACCCGACGCTGACCAGGATTTAGTGGAGGTCTCAAGCCTCTGGGAACAATGGCAAGAGAAAAGCAGGACCTTCATCTTAGGGAAGTTTAGGGGTTGGTTCTAAAGGTGAGTAGGATTCAGGCATAGGAAAACTAAGTCCGGGGGTCCAGTTATTGAATTTCGCTCAGTTAAAAAAGAAAAAGAGTCATCCTGATTTCTTTTATTCCCTACTGTAGCTAAGTGTACTTGCATGTATGCAAATTCAAGTTCAAGACCAGTGAGAACCTTTCTGGTCCAAGACATAGATTATAATCAAGCTCTATTTCACGAAGTCCCTAGTTCAGTTTCACATTCTCTTTCACTGCAGGAGCCCAACAGCCGGATAAATTCAATCCCTTGTCAAGATACCATTCACGTTTGTGTTTATGTAGTGGCAGTTTGCCTGCATTTCTGGTTTCTGCTTTTGTTTGTAACCATGAATTTAATTCTGTGCTTTGGTGCTCCTTTTCTCTTCCCTCAGTAGAGGTTGCAATAGACTTTCCATGAGTTTAACACTGACACTTTTTACTGCCTTGACTATCCCGTCTCATCCTTTGGAATCAGACTCTCAGTTGTCTGCTCTGGTCCCACCCCTTAGCCTGCTTGCTTGTTTCATGCCTAGATTTTGGTATGCCACTCTTTCTAAATAATTCCTTTAAATTGCCCTTACAGAAATAAGCAATAAGTAATGAACTAATCATGTTACTGCAGGGATATAAATAATGTTTAAAAATTTTATTTACTTGTAAAATCTAAGTCTCAAAGATGGCAATAATGTTCCTGTTGTAGGGGATGCTTTGGATAAGACTGAAGAACATCTGGCTTATGGCATAGAGAACAACAGTTCTTTGCTGGAATGTACCCCACGATCTTTACAAGCAAAAGTTATCTGGTTTGTACAGAAAGGACATGAGACCGGAAAAGAGGAGGTAATTCATAGCTGCACAGTCACACCATAGTGTTTTACATATAGTATGTGATCAGTAAATAGATGATTTATTTGGATGCTGAAAAATGAAGCTAGCTGTTTTCCTATGTATTTCTTATTTTAAAAGTTAGTTTTATTTATTATGTGATTTATATACATATAAAAATGTAAATACATATACATATAGATTTTAAATGCATATACTATGTAAATATATATATGGTATACACATATACAGAAATCATTAATTTGGATCTTGGAAATAGAAATTTTTAATAGAGGTACTTATTATGGTCATGTTGTCAAAATTATAGTCTTAAATTGTGACACTCAAGGCAATGTTGTAGAGAAATAGCAAACTTAACTATCATTAACACATACGTCTTCAGCATATGAATAATAATAGAATTAGAATAACAACACAGCTGCAACATTAAGCCTGTCATATAAGAAAGCTTTTCAGTCATATATGAGGCATTGACACAAGGGTTCCTTACCACTGGGAACAAAGGAAAGGCCCCAGCTCTTTCATCCTTTTTAGCAGTTGCAGTGGTGGAGATTGTATTTCTGTAATCATCTAAATGATAGGAGAGGAATGACTTCGCTGCTTCTAGAGATGGAAGGATAGGCAGTTTTAAAGCATTTATATAAAATAGGAGGCAGTTACTGGATAAAAGAACGTGAGTCAAGGGCTGTCTATAGAAAGAGTCCAGGACATAAAGCAGTTAGGTAAGGCAGATCATGGTGATGTGGTCTTTGAACTCAGTTTTGCAAAAGTGGAATTATAAAGATAGCAAGTAGAAATGGATATTTTAGAGGGAAAAAGAACTTGGTGAATATTGAAAAAATGATTCTTGGTAAAGAAAAGGTTGCAAGTTGAATAACGAAAATAAGTTCTAGAGACCTGTCTTTGGTCACAGAGAAGAGATAATAGGTGCATTTTGGATAGAGAGTGAATCAGTGAATCATTGGAAGGCTTCACCTTGTTCTGGCACTGGAGACTAAATATTTGTCATTGGAGCACAAAATTAGTGATTCCAAATGCGGAGCACTTTGACTTTCTCTTTCTTTTTTCCTAGCCTATGGTGAAATAAAAAACCCAGCATATTTGGTTCAAAATCATACAGTATATTCTGGGAAATAATTAAATTTGTAAATCCTTGGTTCTTTGGATAGGTTTTAGAAAGAAAGTCACCTCAACTTAACAAAGGCTATTAGAAATAATATAGAAATGCAATCAGGAAAGGAAAATTCTCTTCATGATGTCATAAAAATAAACACATGTCCAAATGTTATAGCATATTGCACTGAATTAAATTGTTGATTTAGTATTAAAGTATTTTCCACTTCACAAATCTGAGGTGAAATGGCTTTTTAGATTCCTCGTAACTCCCTTGGCAGAAAAGGACCTGGTAATATTCCATAGTTCCTCCAAGCAGAATGGCTTCAGAAGACAAAGAAGTAATTCTTTTATCAGTGGTTTTCCTCACTCAGTATGTTCTGTTTCTAATTTGGGACTTACCATAATCTGCCTCATTTAGAAAACTTTACCAAATCATTTGACATGCTGTATCCATCAATGTTCAATTATAGGGTTCTTTCTCATATTGTTGATATAATCTACTTCTCCATTCCTATAATTTTTAGTACCTGTTTTTGACTGCATTCAAATTTCCCCAACTAACATATTTGCTGTTATTTGGACTTCAAATTTACTCTCTGCAACTAGTCATAATCAGGTAATATTAATACTTGGCTTTTATGGGTCTAGCAATAAATGGATTGATTTATTCACAATATAAAATGGACAAAACACAAAATTGCTGACCTTATTAAAGGCTGAATGTACATGATGTACAGACAAAGCAGAAAAACTTTGCATGTGAGTTCTTAATTTTATTTCATAACATTTTTTGCATTATTGACATCTATATGTCTCATTTTTGTGAAATGTAATTACTTTCTTATCAAATCTTTATTTGTACCTCTGACAATGCTTATCAGGGTTCATCTCTGATGCTACAAACCATGAGAATTCATTAATTTATCAGACCACAGAGTGTATACATTTTCCCTTTATTTAACTGAAATTTTTGGTTCTATAATATATGCTTGTTCAGATTCAAACTCAATCCTCTGGAGTTATCCAGAAGCAACATATTCATGTGGATAATGTTTTTGCCCAAATTTATCTTTAGAAATTAAATTAATCTTTAGAAACATAACTGAATTGTTAGAAAGAACTGAAAGGAAATCAATTATCTATTTTCTAAACACTGGATTATAGTAATTCTCTCAAATATGCATTTTATTGACTCCTGCTTTCTTAAATAAAGCAAATGGAATGTAATCTCTATACATTTTATTAATTCTATAAGTATTTATTGAAAGCCTACTTTTAGATACTTCGTAGGGAGTATTTTCCCTTGGCTTGAAGATCTGATTAATTTTAATGTCAAAATAAGCAGCCATAAATTATAAATGCAAATTAAATATATAAGGCTATATATATATCTCATCAATTATTGTGATATACTGAGAGAAAAGAGACTTAATAAAACAGAATTGATAACTGAGGCTCTTATCTATATGTACCTATTGCAAGCAGGAAGTGAGTAGGTACCAGGTTATTTCTAGATCTCACAACTGCAAGTTAGACATAATTTTCTTCATCTTACACATGTAGAAACTAAAACTCACAGAGTAACGGCTCATACACAAAGTCAGTGACAGACCTGACGTTTGAACTCAGGTATTCCTAACTCTAAAGCTGTGCTGTTTCACATTCATTGTCAAAGTACCAAGGACTGTTCTATATGCATTTTATGGAATATACCATTTTATTATAAAGAATTGGTTTATAGATGACGTAATTGAGGCACAGAATGTTTAATAACTCCCCTGGTTACTTGCAGCTAGTAAAGTAGGTTCAAATCCAGGTGTCTGTAATTTCTACTAAACCACAAAATCTTCTGAAATAAAAATTCTAAATACAGCGTCAGATGCTTTGGGACATAGAACAAATGGATAACTTTATGGCAGAAGTTCTGGGATTCAATTTCTAAAAAATGCTCCTGATGTCAGATTGATCCTTATATAGATTTTTCTTTGTCAAAGTTGAATGAAGTGTGCTGCTGCAGCCTTGATGGCAAAGACACTATTCCTCATTGTCAGATGTCAGAGAACCTGCCCATAATTTGAACCATCCCCACTCTAAACACTGATGACATGAGTTATTGTTACATATAACACACACGATATAGACATCAATGTGTTTCCATTCTTAAATTGCCTTTTCAAGCTTCTACTGTATGCCTATTAGTACAATATGACTTCTATATCAAAGAAAATGTGACCCACACTTTGAGCCTATGTAGATATAAAGTTCAGAGTATTCTTTCTCATTTTATTGGATTTTTTTCACTAAAAGAAATGTTTTATTCATTTGTTTGAATTTATTTCTTAAACACTTACTATGTCATACTTTATAGAACTTATATTCAGGAGAACATGGGAACACAATAATAATAATAATATTAAGTATGTCATACAATGATTTAAAAATGCAAGGGAGGTTAAATTATAGGGAGAAGTTGGAATTTTAAAAGGGTGGCCAATTTTATGATGACCTCGCTAAGAAGGTCATCATAAAAGTGACACTTGAAAAAAGATCTGAAAAAGTTAAGGGCACAGGTCATGTGACAGTACAAGATAAAAACTTTCTGGGCATTGGGAACAGCAGATGCTAAGACCCTTGAGATAGGAGTGTATGTGATATACTCAAAGAACAGCAGAGTGAAGAGCAATGTGGCTGGAGGTGAGTGGGCAGTAGAGAGACTAATAGACTGTGTATCAGAGAGGTGAGGACACGGGAAAGCTCATGCAGGGACCTGCAGCCATTTTATAGGGTTTTGGTGCTTGTTCTGAATTGAAAAGGAAGCCATTGAGTATTTTCAGCAGAGCTGTGATATCATTAACATTTGTATTTATAAAGATTACTTTGGTTATTATATTAAGATGATAGTATGTTGGCATGGGGCTAAGAGTGGAAGCAGGTAGTCATTGAAGTAATAGGGACACACGGTATTAAAGTATAAATCTTCACGATTAAAGACAATTCTTAATGTGCCATATGCCTTCAAGACCAGATGATTTGCAGGTGACTGCCTCATACACGTTGTAGCAATATGCTTTGCTATATTTTTCACTATTAAGAAATGTGAAGGCTGTTAACATCTCAAATGGAATACTTTTTGGACTCTGTTCTCTTCTCTCTGTTCAACTGTCTGGAATTGGTGTTTGAACTCAATAAATATCCACTCAGAGTCTACTGTAGTAGTCAATGAATAAATCATGGTCTTAGCTCTTGTGAAGTTTACAGTCTTATAATGAAGACAAGAGTGCAGACAGATAATTATATGTGTTCCTTAAAAGTTCTGTTGAAACCAAAGAAAAGGGAAATTGTCTCAGCCAAGAGATTGGGTAAAGAAGTGGTATAATAACCAATTTGGAAAGACTCATGGCAGAGGTGACATTTGAGCCACATCTTAAAGAATGAGTGGAGGTAATTAGTAGAGAGAATGTCGTTAGCTCATGTTATGAAGATGAAAAACGATATGGTATATCCAAATCATAATAGGAAATGAGCATGCAAAAATTAGAAGACAGATCAAGGAATCCATTTCAATTTGTCTCTAAGCCAATGAGAACAACTTAGCCTGACTGTGTATGCAAACGATTCTAGAAACTGGCACACAGACTTAGGAGATACATAGAATGTCAAGAATATTTAGGATGATACTTGAATAGTCAATGAAAAAATGTTGTACCACATGAACTAAACAGTATTAGTAGAAACGGAGAAGACAGATTTCAATTTTTATGAGATGATATTAAGTGGATTTCATATTTGAGATAAAAGCGCAATCACAAAATATTCATATGTTTATTGTTGAGTCACTGTGTGGCAAATGGCACAGTAACATGATTTCAGTAATACAG